GAAACTCAATGGTGAATAAGAAAGACACAAGTACTTGGAATATATTACAGCATGAACAAGAACAAATGTAAACAACAACATAGCAAAAGCCCCGACTCAGTCCACCAGTCAGTGTCATGAACTTCATGCTGGCTGCTATTCAGTTTTCTTCTCAGTGTTTATCACTTCACCTTCACTTGTCTGGCACCTGCATTACCAGACCCATGCTGGAGACCATGTCTTCACAATGACCTCACCTCCTTGATTTCCAGATAAATGAAGCACTGCACAGAACAGTTTTTAGATTAGCGGAACTAACGTTAATTTTAGAAGCAGCTACCAATTTTTGATCAGAGAATTAATTTTTTCTAATAACGCTTTAAAATCACAGTGCACAAGGTGTATATGTCAAGACAGCCAAAAGTTTTGTGGACAAAACAAGTGAGAACACTTGTGAAGGAAAGTTTATACTGTAAGAGAGAGGAGACAGCGACTTAAATATATTAGATTTAGAAAAGGTTTCTATAACAGTCAGCACTGGTAGAGCACTTCCTAGCAATTTCTGAATATGGATGAATTTGCATTACACTTTGCAACCAAAACTGAGAGCAGCCATTCAAGGTATCTTTGATTGATCTACCCTTCTGTTGGCCAGCTGTGAGCTCTGGAGAAAATCAAGGTGCTCTCCTTCTGGTGCAGACCTGAAGTCCATACAGACTTACGGTTTGCTGTAGCTTATGATACTACAAAGATGTAGGCTTGGCACACTTCTGTCAAAGTTGCAATGGGACTTAAAAATCAATATGCACAGAGTGACTGTTGACTTCACAATGCAAATATTCCCCCTAGAAGAGCAGATAGCATTAGACGAGACCCTGTCTGGAATAAGCAGGTGATGTTTCTTGTATCTGGCATAATAGCATGAGGCAACAGTCCTCTCTGCTAAATTTTTTTTTTTTAACAGAATGTTCTTTACTTGAGGCACAGAGCAGTTAACCTGGCATGAAAACACAAGGTGCGTCTGGTATATAGTTAAGAGTCTTTTCAGCTAGCAGTGGCTGGCTCAGTAATTCCCCTAATATTCCTGTTGTGATTCCAGCACGAGGAGAGAAACTGAAGAAAAAAAAAACACATAGCTGCCTCTGCTGAGACTGCCACGAGTGCAATCTGCTTACTCAATTATTTGTTCTTTCACAATAATAGCATAAACATTTGCACGTGGTTTATCTGTCCAACCAGGTTTCCTTTTCCATATTTTTTAAAAATATATTAAGAACAAATTCACTTCCCTCCCTGTTTATGGTTTTTTTTTTTCTTTCAGTGTTAATTACATTTGGTCTTGAGTACTAACTTAACAGAGTTGTCTGTTTTCTCAGAACACCTTGTCTCTCAAAAGCCAGAGATCTTGCTTGTTAGAAGTATTTGTATGTCTTAACTACATGACAGACATTAAAGAAGCTAAAATTAATGATTTAGCCTCATAACAGAGAGTTTATAGATATCCCTGAAACAGTGTTATTTAGAAGTATTGTGTTTTCAAATATATTAGATAGGTTATGCTTCTCCTAGAGCTAGGTGTCATGTTTTTGTCTATAAAATATGGAAATTGCTTTCAGGTCTGGAGCTGAAAATAATACCTGGGTGATATATTCAAGAGAGTGTCTGTACTTGTGTCTCAGCTAGTAATCATGTTTTATAAGGCTGTCATTATTACTCTTAGCTTGAGCTCTGTTAATATATATGTATTCTTCAGAAGAGAAGTACAACACAACATTCTCAAGACTTGCAAAGTAAACTATCATCCGATGCCTTGGTATTAGGAGAAGGAAAGCAAGCAATGAAAAGACAGGGAGCCGCTTCTCATTAACTATTGTAAGATGTCAGCAAGATTAAGGTGTCAGGGTATAGAAAGATGAAGAAGAAAAGAATTACTTAGCAAATAGGCATAAATGAATATAAAATGTGAATAGAGGGTTCTAGCTTCTTCTAAGGGTAAAAATGGGCCAGTAGACATTATATTGTGCTACAATCAACTCACCCACTTGATTCTGACCTTCATCCTCATAGGTGAGAGGAGCGAGAGCAAAATGTTACCACATAGCCAGTGCTGGGAACTTTCAGAACCATTATTTCTGAAAAGAAATGAATATTCAAAGGCCCCCTTGACATAATGAAGGTTAAATCCTACGTGGGGTTTTGCGGGCACACGCAAGTGCTGTCTGGCTTTGCTCTAAAAAAGCCTGAGTTCAGTCTGTCTGTGAGCTGCTGGGGGGCTGCACAGCCACATTAGTGCAGGGCTGAGCTCGTGCTCAATGAACTGGTGATAAAGAGAGAGCATTACTTCGCCATCTCACAAACGCAGCTACACAACAGGCAACGGGTCTGGCAGAACAAAAATATCATATAGACATATATACACACAGAGAAGGCACTTGGCTGCAAATTAATACACAGCTGACTCTTAGAAACCACCTTAGATATCACTAGCTAATAGCAGCTAATCGCAAGCTCATACCATTTAAATACCTATCACCTGGCCTGGAAAATATTTAAGTTTAATGAGTGAACAGTGCTTACCTGCCAATGAGAGAAAAAACAGTGCCATTTTCTCCAAAGGAAAGCAATTCCAGCCAGGTACTGCCATTACAAAAACAGCTTTTCTTTGTAAGACTTAAGAAAAAAAATTGAACAAACAGTATAGTAAAAACATGGTATCACTTCAGAAAAATATTGTGCAAATTATGGACAGTATTTTAAGTCGTTTTTACTTGAATTTAATTCACAGTGGTCAGTTACAAGTAGAATGGCCTTTCCATGCTTCGACAGCTGCATCACAGCCATGGGCAGGTGTTGTGAGAAACGTGTATTTCTAAAACCTAGGAGCATTTCCTGTGTCTTGCACTGATTTAAATTGTGAGCCAATTTAGCCAAGCTGATGTAAAACCCAGTATGATTGCTTGAATCAGATTTATGCAGATAGGAAAAGATGCATCTGTTTCCTCAGCAACAGTTTCAGTCCAGAAATTGTGGAAGAAAAGTATATTAGGTTGCATGCAGCCTTCAGAAATAAAAATTACAGTTTTGAGACTGAAGCTGGCAGAAAAAGTATATATAAACACGTTGTTCCTAGGCGACTCTAAATCACAACTTTTAACACAGATAAAGTAAAGTTAGCTGCCCGATAATGTTACAACATCAACAACCAAAGCAAGCAAACAAACAACAAAGGAAAAAATACAGCAATATCAGACATGGCACAAAATATTTACCTCACATTATCATTACAGTTATACAAAATCTTATGTCTATTTCTACCAGTGCCTTTGTGGTCAATGTGTATATCAAGTGCAAATTTGTTTGCATTTAGTGAGATGCTGTTTGCTATATGGCTGGTAACATTTCTGGTGATTGCAGGAAAGAAAGCAAAAACCTGATCGCTACAGCTAAGCTCCATTGTTTTACAAAGGTGCATTTTTGCTATACTTTCCTCTTTTTATTTGTTAGGTATGGAAGTATCCCTCTCTGTCCCACTGCATGATAAAAGCTTTGCTCTAGTTCCCATCTGCCGTCTTTGAGAGATCAATTGTAGAATATTCATCAGTAGAAACGTGAGGCTTTTGCCACAGTTTCTCTAAAATCCATCTCCTCAGACACACACAAGCTGAAAAGGATCAGTTTTCACCGGCCTTGGCATTAAGCCTCTGTGCTCTCCCATGAGCTCTGTTCAATAATTTAAGAGGAGTGGGAAACAAATTATGTGACTATTAATTCCAGTTTTCTTGTTCAGATGCCAGTACATCAAAAATAGATCTCACCAGGCCCGAGCACTTTGTCATGTTATCTGGAGTAATACTGGTTTGTGAATTATGTCTGGTCAGTTTAGTGTCTCTGTTTGGTCACATTAATCTCTTTGACCACTGCCTTAATCACTGAACTCTTCCATCTCATTTTTCATCTTACAGAAAGAAGCTGTCTGACTTTTTGTCTAGCGCCTGGCACAGTGACTGCTCTGTTGGCCCCGTAGTAGCTAGAGGAACCCAGAGGTCTCCTGGGCGGCAGCAGGACCAGCCACAATGGGCACCATCTCATCAAGTTCAAGTATCTCATCTGTTCCTTAGCGACCACACAAATACCACAGTAACCCTAGGTGGCGTCAGGCTGCTCCATTTGACACACCTCAGAAGGCTAACAACTTACTGCCCAGCAAGGTAACAACACACCCAGGCTGCGTGAAGATCAAATAATTGTCAATCCACTGACAGAAAATAATTACTAGAGAATTCTTTACTTACATGTGTGAGTTACATCAGCCACAAGATGCTTCTCTGTATTTTCACGATGACAAAAAAGCCAGCAAAGCACATTGCATTTACTCTTTATATATAATCTTGATAAGCCCATGTTGCAGATACAATTTTGAAACCTATGCTTATATATATATCTATACTTCCATATATAACTTTATCATAAACTAGTAAGTATTAAAGTATATTTTTTAAATATTAATTGCACTTCAGATTTATTTATTTATTTACTATTAATTAATACAAACAACAAAAATATATTTCTACTGTGGAAGCCTATAAAAGCTATGGACTAGAGGCAAATCTATCTGCTTCTGCTCCAAAAGCCAATAATAAACACAAGCACCTAGACACTCTAGTATGATATCAACTCCCTAGATATTTTAGAAACTAGCTAGCATATAATGCAAGAAATATTAGGTTGTTTACAATACCTAGTTACTTATAGGTCTTTAGAATGACATATCATCAAAGAAAATTTGTACTTTTTGTCTTTTTCTCAGAAAAAATCTCAGATCATTGGGTTTTATTTCTGCCATTAAGGAACATGGGAGTGTAGTTTCTCATGAAATCAAGAGTTGTAGTATTGGGGTAAAATAAGGACTAACATTTCATTAAAGACAGAAAGAAAGCCTAGCCATTCCCTTCCCTCATGTCCCACTTTGTCAGCCCTTTCCATCATTTCTCCTTTATAGTTGTCTGATTTTTTAGCTTCTATCCTAAAAACAAGTGTGTTCTTTTTTTTTTTTTTTTTCCCTCAGAAACTAACCAAATGAGTAAATTCCCATGAGAAAGCAGTCCCAATTCATTAATATATTCCTATGGCTATGGATTCCCTTGAGTTTCTGAAAAAAAGCAGATGATAAACCTAAAATTTCTAGGGAAACTTAGTAAGAACAGAAACATGCAGTTAGAAAACAGTCTCCCAAAGACATGTCACAATTTTGAGAAGTGTGTCAAAACCTGATTTTGCCTTATATAGAAGTGATATGATGTCTTAAAAACAGAAAAATATCTATGAGTTGTAGAAGAATGACTTTCCAGGACAATGAATGATGAATTATGTGCATTCATAGTGTCAGTAAGTTGGTACTGTTCCCAATTAAGTTAGCTACCTCTGAAGAATCTACTCCATCTTTACAAGAGGGACTGAAGATGGAGAATCTATTACAGACACTGCTATGTTGCTCAAAAAATAATTAAATTATACGAGCACTGGAATTAGCTTTCTAGTAAGCATATTTTACAAGACAGTATGATTTGTCCTGCTGGCTTCTGAAAAAGAGAGTGAAATATCTTGGAAACAGTGCTAATATTTCCAAGAAAAATAATTTTTCTCGGGCATGGCAGATAGCTTTTGAGTATTATAAGCAGAGCAAAGCAATTAGCAAAAGTTGGTTTTCCTCATGTATTGGGCATGGATGTTCCTTTGGGTACACTAATACACGGGCCTTGCAGAACTCAGTGTTTCACCACAAAGCAATGCCTGCAACAGATATAAAAAAAGGACCTAAAATATGGATTAGGGTCGCCTTGCAGGGAAAAAAACTATGAAGGGGTGGGATGTGAATTGAAACCAGTATTTCCTTGTCTAAAGGTCAGCTGTGTTAAAAATTGTAAGAAATTTAGGGACAACTAAATTCAAAGCTATAGCCCCAAGACAACGCATAGTCCGTCAGGACAGTAAACCTCCAAAGGCCCTAAGACAGCTTTTTCCAGGAGTTTAGTTGCCAGAGTTTCTTTCCTCGAGGTAAGCTCTCAGCAAGCTTTCAAACGCTGTTCAAACACTTCTGAACTTCCTGTGAAAAGATAAACCATAGGTTAGAGACAGAAATAACAAGGGTCAGTTCAAGAGTAGAAGATTATCATAAGCTTTCTATCTTTGCTTAGCACAGTCTGAGAAAGTATTACCTTTCTGCATAAAAGGTCATAGCAGCCACTGCGTTAGTGCCCTGCTATACTGAAACTACATCTGACAGCATGCACATGCCAACAGAAACAGGAATGATATAGTGAGGAATAACTACAGTTTTGAAAGGGCACTATTTGTCACTGCTTGAGTCATTTGGCTCTGTCAGTGATGTACAAGTGGAGAAAAAATTGCTGCTGAGTCTTGTTGTCAGTGCCTATAACCTCTAAAGCCAGTGACAGAATAAAAAGTGGGACCATTTTAGGAAATTGCATTATAGTCCAGTCTTTGCTCTGGGGAATTCCTTCAGAGAACAGGTGCATTAGAAACAGGAAACTGTTACTCTACCTGCAAAGAATTCTCTTGAAGGAAGGACTTCATCCCAGAGTTTATACAGCACACTGCAGGCATTCATGCTGTTTGAAGAAGACTTGTCTATGTACAGATGTCTTATCTTCCAGACATAGCAGTAACTGATGTCCAAAGCACGATGGACAGATCAAGATTATCTCATTCATACAACACACAGGAACCTAAACTGCATCTAGACACAGGAATAAAAGATTACACTGCAAGTGTCTGCACTCTTGTACTCCTATCTGCTAGCAAAGGTTCTGCCTATGCTAGGCAGGTTCCCCAGATGTGTTGCTGAATTGTGAAGATGAAGCATTCTTCTGAAAAGAAGGCTGTGACAGATTAATAACAAGTTTAAAGTAAACGTGGTTCACACTTGACAAAGAAATGCATGAGGCAAACCAAGTGTATATAATCTTTTTATCATTATTATGAAATAAGTTTATATAAGCAAAAAGTTGTTACTATCTCCTTGTTGCCCAGAAAAATCATAACTCATTAATTAAACTCACCGATATCTCTCCATAAGAAGAAAGGATTGGTTTGAAGAGACACATAAGAACGTTTCAAGGATGGCTGGGAAGATGCAATAGAAGAATATATAGGCAAAAGGCTATGACAATTCCTGTGGAGTCATAAATGAGTTCATGAGCATGGTCAAGGATTGATGAATGACAGTCATCTGCACCCTTCGTCCTGGCATTTAGGAGGTGCCTAGTATACTTACAACAGTAGTAGGTACAACTTGCATTGTAATACTAGGCTCCTGTGATTAGAATAATGAATGTCATCTACATTTGATATGTAGAGTGTTTATTTCAAGAATCATTACTACCTAAACTATGGTCATAATTTTTTTCAAAAGAAAAAGCCTTTCCCATGGCAGAGATTATGGCAGTATGAGCTGAGGATCTAAGCTCATAGCCACACACAAGGCTAGGCAGCATTGCCCACTTGTGACACGCAGTATTCTTAAGACACTCATGGTATCAGCTGAGCTCTCCAATTGGCACTGCAGTTTACGTGGGACAAAGCCACTTCAGTATCTTCTATTTGTACAGCATCTATTACTGTCATTGGTGTTGAAAGCACATAATACTATTAGTACACAGCATTATACTCCTAACTGAAGTCCTAAATCAAACATGCCAGAAGTAATGAAATTAGATTTGACCAATACAATACACATCATTACAGACATGCTACCAATTTGGACACCTCGTAATGTATGAACCACTCATAATGCCATTACTGGTATTTCAGGAGGTAACAATTTTGAGAACAGCCCATTTTCTCATTTAGTCGCACTGGCTGTGCGATTGGCTTTATCACACTGGCAAGGTGAAACAGGCAGTGATGTTGATTCACCTTAGTCCAAGTGACTGTGAAGTTCGTTATGATGACAACCGTGTCTGCTTAGTTTAGCAGCTGTTCTGGCACTGAATTCTTTAAGATTTTGAGTGAGTTTATTAATTTGATATGAAATGCATTAAAGAAGAAGCACAGAGCGTTACTTCTTTGTTTCCTCCTTTCAGAATTGCAACTGGGCCAGTTACTCTTAGTACAAAGGTAATTTAGTCAAGATACTTGAGAGCCACTTGGCTCTGTTTCTAAATTCCTCCCTTTGTCCTTGGCAAAGCTCTTTGAAGTGTTAGTCTGCGAGGTGGATGTTGTAATGAGCCTATTTCTAAGAGGATCAAAGTAGCAGAGCTGCCCAAAGCAGCATCAAAGATACACAACAGAGAGCCCCTTAATGAGCAAGAGGGACACAACTGACTTTTCCCGAAAATAACACCCTAAAACAGGATTTAGATTAAATATTTAAAATCAAAAATTATTTTATTTTTATTGCCAGCAGAAAGGAAAAACCTCAAAGCAAAGAGAAAATTTCTCCAGCTGACACTGCCAAAATGTAATGACAGTCATTTGTTCAATGCTTCATCACCATTTAATGAAGTCCACATACCTGTGGCCTCAGCTAGAGGTGGCAGCCCTGGCTGGCTGGTGCAGGCAGGATAGCAGCCCCTGCTAAAGCAGATTCCTTTCCCATGGATATGAAAATAGAAAGCAAACATAAGGCAGGAAGCTGCGGGAACACTGCAGAGCAGGCAGCTCAGGGGAGGGATGTGGGGGTAGGGTGGGAGAAAAAAAAAAGAGTGGGTGGGAGGACTGGACATGTAAATTATGTGCCAGGAAATGAATTCCTTATAATGTCGCTTGCCAGAAGCTAAATTCTAGCAAATGTAAGCTGTCTTTTTTTCCCTCTCTTACAATCTTTCCACAGTTCCTCTTAGGGTCAGGGAGGAAGAAGGGGGGGGACAGGAAGAGGGGCGATTCAATATTTACTTACCTATTGTGTAACTACAGAGCTATATGATCCAGCTTGAACGTTAGAAGGCATGCAGCTCCCTAACAGTGACGAACGGGATAATATCCTGCTTCTCATTACACACGGCTTTTCAACTTTATTTATGTGGGTACAGGCATCCTTCAATATGATCTAGAGCTGAAATGCCAGAAGAAATGTGTTTCTGTTCAGAGGCTGGATGTGCATCTTGCACTGTGTTCCGTAATGAAAATGGAGCTTATTTTGTTTGACTTGATAGCTATCTGTGCAAATATTGCCTCTGCTTGGGTTTGTGTTTGTTTAAGGAATCACCTACTGGATCTGTCAAGACTGCAGAAATGTATGCCACTGACCTATGCTTAGCTTGGGGATAAATTGAGAAGACTTGTATTTAAGGTTAAATCTCTACGCAGGTTTTTGTTTGTTTGTCTGTTTTCCAGAATTAAGCAGAAACCATCTGGCAGAAGGTTAAAAATACTTAGGAATAAACCTTCAGCTGCTGAGCAAAGTACACTTCTAACTTATGAGAAATCAATGATATGTGAAGCAGGAAGAAGAATGACTATAACAGTACTGTGCATTAAATAGGCTAAGCAACCCAGGCTTTCTTTTTTCTTCCCAACTTGCACAACCCTAACCCAGTATATTTCAGCACAAGTAAGGCTATGGACAAAACGAGTACCAGTTTCCTTGAAGAGGAAACTCCATACGCAGACAATTTTTAATTAACTGTAAAACTACATTCATTTTGGAAGTCCATGTGTAGCAAAATTTCTCTCTTCTGTGTTCCCATTTCCTGCTTCAACAGTTTAAACCTCAAAAGAATATGCAGAAGAAAAAAAGAGACAGTCTTTGCAATTGCAGGTAGATGTGAGATAACACAGATAGAAGACCAAAATGAAAAAGGAGATTGAAGGAGCTATCAGGCTTTTGAACTTAGATTGCTGAAGACTAATCTCCACAAAGAGCATCAGTCAAGGCTTTGATACATAGGAATTTGCGTGCAGAAGATGAAGGACCTATATCCTTCAGCTTTCATCAGAAGTTATGAGATATGTTTGATTTAAGCGATTGTCCAGGACTGTCCTATCTCAGTCCCAGTTCTACACTGTGTCTTAAAGGTAAATGAAGGTTTGTTTTTAAGAGTAACTTATTCCCTGAATGTTAAATTAATTTTGAGCGCAATGAGTTCTGCTGATTTCTTCTGCTTCACTACCAGATACAGCCTACATTCAGGAAACAGCCTAACTTAGTGATATTTACATACAAATCATTTATTTTCTATATGGGCTGGAAGAGTCCCTAAGATTTTGTTAATCGCTCAGCTGACATTCTGTTGATGCATTTTCATTACTAACATAGATTAATTATATTTAAAACAACGACAACTTGATTTAATTGGGAAGCAGAGTTCTACACACTCCATATACACTAATACTTTCTTAGCAGCACTAGTTCAAACAGTTTTTGCTGTACGTGTAATTTGGCTACATCTTGCTATTGGAAATCTGGGGCATGAAATGAAATGGATGTTTCTGCAATAACCATATGATTAGCTAGTGTCAAATTCTGGCATATTGCCCTCCCAGGATTTTCATGCATTAGTTTAGTTAGACTATATCTGAGCTATTTGCTGAAGTCTTGCTGATTGAATGCTGCTAAACTGAAAAGGAAAATGTGTAGCAATAGGTGCTACAGAAAGTGCTCCAAAAAGTCATCCACGTAATATAAAACCAAATTGCAACTCACATGTGTAATACAAGTATTTCTCACACGTGTTTCTCTAAATATAAGTTTTCAATATCATTACTAAGAGCTTTCAAAGGTTTCTCTGATTAATCAGTAGTCTCTTCAGAGTAGCCCTTTCCTGTGAATATAGTTACTGAAGACATTTTCCTCCAGAAAAACCTTCATTCTAGGCAAGACACTAACACGGTTCCAACAGTCAAACTATGGCAAGGACTTAAATGGAGCATATAGGACCATCAAGATACAGTGGGGCTGTCAGATACCTCCCTTGAAAAAAATCATAATAATCACCACAAGCTGTACATTTAAATACTAAGTATACAGATCTTCCTATGGATATCCCCCATGAAATCTTACTGACATTACAGTTATTGATAGGACATAATTGTCATAAAGTAATGAGGCACCTAATGATGATACTTGAATGACTCTCATATAATAATGTCTTCATTGTCAAATTCATATATGAATAGCAGCAACTGAAAAACAATGCATTTTGGCACATCTGTGCTACCCAGAATCATGAACTGAAATGTAGATCAGCTCTTGCTTAATGTCCTGTCAAATGATTTTCCAAGACTCCTTATTCAATGAAAATTAAGATGAATTCCACCTCCTCACGGAGTGACAAGCATTAGTTCAGATCTCATGGCCTCAGGGACTCTACGTAGCTGCAGTACCTGAAACAAGCCATCTTCAGTTCTTTAGCTCCCTTTTTGAAATACGTGGCCCAACTACCCACATATAATACCATTGCCATGAGTTTGTAATAAGATTTTGCAAAAGGAAACCATACTGGAAATGCTGAGGAGACTGCTAAAATGTGGGTTGTTTTTTTTTGCATCTACATATTTAACCTACCTTTGAAGAACTGGTTAGCTAGCTCCCTCTCTGCTGTTAAGAATAAGAAGCAGCCCAAATACAACATCAAGACAGTAATTATCAGAAACAAAGAAATCTGTCAAAAGTGATTACCATTTGTTCTCATTGCATCTGATCTATACTGAGTCTGACTCTGTATGAAAATTAGATTACTGAATGATCTGTTTGACCTTTTTAAAACATTTCACTTCACTTTTGAATCCTAGTTTTCGGCCATATGATACTGCATAAACAATTTACTTTTAATACAGTAAAGTGCTAAGTACTTTGACTCTTTTTAGTTCAGTTCATAAGCACTTTCTTGTATGAATATTTGATCACACCTGACATTCTTGAGTGGATTAAACACATAGTTATAGCTGGCATATTTTAAAACACATCATAAATCTGTCAATCTGAACATCAAAACCATGCTGCAGTCAGTTTGGATCTTATGTATAAATACAGAGCTATTTGGCCAAAAACTGTGATTCCATAAAACATTTTGAAATTGTTGACATGATGTGTTTTATTTAATAATTTCCTTTACATTGTAAAACATTGATTTAAACACATGATAAGAATGCATTCTTGCACATTACTTGTATTCTTTCAACTTCCTTTCTAGAGGAATTGGTAGATTGAATATTCAACCAACTGATGGTCAACAGGTCATCAAGAGAACTAGAAGGGAGTACGTGCTTGCCCAGACCTAAAGGAAGAGCTACGACCACAGTTCTGGCTGCCATGGAGCTGAGAGGACTGATGCTCTGGAAGTATGCAGGTTCTCATGCCCTTCCCTATAGCACTTCCAATAAATAGTCCTGAGATAGACAGGTCACGGGTCTGCTCCAAGCTGAGTCTTTCTTTCTCTCTTATGAACACATAATGATAATACAAATAAGCAAAGAAGAAAAACATATCACTTATCTGCTCTTTTGTGTAAACTTGCCATTCTTTTCCTACTGTAATAAAAGGTAGTAGAGAAGAATACTGAATAAACATCTTTGTGACTAAAAATGATTTTTAATGCGAGGTCAGAATTTAGCCCAGATGCTGTTTTTCTCTTTTCAAAAAGCAGCAGCATTTTTTAAGGGGATTAGTACTTTCAGTGTCTTGACAATAAGAATCACTCCTAGGAAGGAAAAACAAAGACAAAAAATGCAACAAACAAGCAACACAATAGCTCTTTTGTGACCACCACCAACTAAAAAAATATGTATTTTTTTTTCTTCCTTTTCTTCATTTGCATACATATTTATTTGTAGAAAGCAAAACTCGACCATATAATCATTTAAATTCTTAAAGATATGAAACTTGGATGACTCAGTGGAAAATTCTCAGAAATAATCTTGATGAAGTGGTTTTATTCATCTCATTCTGCTTTTCTCAAGGGCTGACATATGCATAAAAGGGGAACACGATCCCTTGCACATGTTCTCCATGAGGACTGCGTGTAGCACAATCATTAACTTAAAACACGCTTTGCTGACTCTTACTCAAAGGCACCACTGAATTGAAGCCAAAGGAATTCAGGCTGGCATTTCTCCATCTACTCTGATCAGGGAATAGGGTGAAAGGACAATCCTGTTTAACTGCACCAAGCATTGCAGGGTTCCACTGGACCTCTGTGGTCTGTCCCTACACATCTGCTGTGTTGCGTGGGGTATTTAAAGAGTGACCTTTCTTTCTCGTGCTGCTGCAGGCTGAGCACACACACCAACAGAGGGAGAGACAAGGTAGCTGGGACTGCATGCTGCACTGGGCACTGACAACACAGCGAGAGCCTACCAACACCATCAAAACATCAGGGACCCTCTTTTTCTGTCCCTCACACAAAGAACCATGCTGCAGTTACATCATCTACAACATATGCCATATATGTGTGAAAGAGACAAATGGAAACCGCAGGATAGATCCAGGAGCTCACAGAGTGACAACATCAGCTGAGAGCACAGGAATGCACCTGTGAGGAGAACAGCTCTCCTGGGTTCTTCATAATCATTTGGCTTTGCCCTAGCTGGTTCTCTTCTGCTTCTAGTTGTTCCAATGCCTATGCCTCCTGTTTTGCCTTTGTCTACTTTCCTTATTTGTCAGTCCTACCTTACGGTGCCAAAACTTGACAGAGAAGATCTACCTCCAAGTTGAAACAAACCAAACATACAGAATGCTGTCTCAGAAGTGGGGATTAAAGCCATCTTTAGGCGATTAGTAAACCTGGTTGCTATTTTGAGTTCTTAAATTTGCAATGATCAATAAACCGCCCAGCACATTCTGGGAAATGAAAAATCCAGTCTTTAAGCAATAGTTTATTCTGTAACAAAAATGGCTTTTTTTTTATTATTATTCAAAAAGAATCTGTCTATAATAGAAATCATCTTGGCTTATATCCAAGCCAAGCAGTTGATTTTTCAGAAGAGTAGTGTGCTGCTTGGAGCCCGTTCAACCTCTTTCAAAAGCCAATTGAGCTTCCCATCGTGTCTCCTGGGAAGTGTAGATTTGAGTTTTCCCCTTTGACAGGTCTATCCTGTCTGGTAAATCTCCCAAAT